GATCTACCAAAGGAAGTAAAAGACTTTATACATTGAAAATTACAGTGCTCTGAAAAAAATCAAAGAGGAATTCAGAAAACGGAAATATATTCCTTACTCATGGGTAGAAAGAACCAACATTGTGAAAACGGCCATACTCTCAAAACTATTACACAGATTTAATGCAATCCTAATAAAAATATCATTACCATAGCTCACAGATCTAGAGGAAACATTCCTAAAATTCATCTGGAACAAGAAGAGACCCAGAATAGCAAAAGCAAATCTGGGCAACAAAGTCAAAACAGGAGGCATTACAATCCCTGACTTGAAAATATACTACAAACTTGCTATAATAAAATCAGAATGGTACTGGCAAAAAAAAAAAAAGACCTTAGAATCAATGAAACAACAGAAGACACAGACACAACTACAAACACACTTAGCCACCTTAGCTTTTACAAAGGGGCCAAGCAGTTTCAGTGGAAGAAAGATAGCCTCTTTAATAAATGGTGCTGGAAAAACTGGCTTCCCACATACCAAAGACTTAATCTAGACCCATGCCTATCATTGCACATAAACTAAAACCAAAATATTAAGATAGAGACCCCAAACTTACCAAAAACCAAAGTAGGTAGAAATCTCTAGGACATAGGCGTAGGAAGAAAGTTCATGAACAAAACCCAAACTGCCTGGGAAGTACTTTAAAGAATCAATAGATGGGATCTCATCTTATTTTAAAGATTTTGCACATCAAAAAAATCATCAAGAGAATGAAAAGAAAACCCACAGATTGGGAAAAGATTTTTGCCAACTGTCCCTCAGACAAAGGACTTCTATTTATAATGTATAAAGCATTGAGAAAAATCAGGCCCACAAATCCAAAGACCCAAACCAAAAATGGGCATCTAAGATGAACACACAAGTCTCAGATGAAGATATACAAATGGCAAATAAATATATGAAAAAATGTTCAATATGAATAAAATATGAATAAAATAAAAATTTAAAAAACAAATTAAAATAACCCTGAGATATTGCTCACTCCATAAAGAATAGCTAACTTCCAGAAATCAACCAATAACAAATGCTAGAGGGGCTGTAAGGAAAAGGATCCCTTCTCCACTGTTGGCAGAAGTGTAGACTGGTGCAACCACTGTGGAAATCAATGTGCAGATGCCTCAAAAAACTACAATTAGTGGTTCCATTCAATCCAGCTATTCCCTTTTTGGATATTTTCCCCGAAGAACTGAAAACATCATACTACAGTGATATATGTGCACCTATGTTTATAGCTGCACAATTCGTAATAGTCAGATCTTGGAAACAACCCAAATGCTCAACTGAGGAATGGATAAAAAAGCTGTGGTATTTTTATACAATGGAGTACTACTAACCTATAAAGAAGGATGAACTAGAGGTTTTATAGGTAAATGCATGCAACTAGAAACCATTCTCATAAGTAAAATAGATCAGACTCGCATGTATAAACACTGTGTTGTCTCACTCATGTAAAAACTGCAAGAGTAAATAAGATCCAAAAGTTACAATAGATACAGTGAAAGGGAAAGAAACTCTTCAAAGCAAAATCATATTGTTTGATCAATTTCGCATGCCTGTATATGATAAACTGAGCAACTATTTTGAAAATAACAACATGCAATATAACAACCATTGTTAAATTCCTATCATCTTGTTTCGACATCCTATATTGCTATTGTGTCTTTTGTTGTTCTTGTTTTGCTTTTGTTGTTGTTTTTTGTTTGTTTACTTTTTTGTATGTGTGTTTTTCTCTTTAAAATAAAAAAAGAGTATACTTTCACCACATACGGTGGCACAAGCCTATAATCTCACCTGTTTGGGAGACTGAGGCAAGAGGATTGCAAGTCCCAACCTGAGCAACTTACTGAAACTCTGTCTCAGAATAAAAATAAAAAGAGTTGGAAAAGTAACTCAGTAGCTTGCCTAACAGTACAAAGTCCTGGGTCTAATCCCCAGTACCACACACACAAAAATGTTTTACTTAATATAGTGCATACACACTTACAAATGCACTGTGCATTGTAAAAGATTTTAATAAGGATCATGTACAACAGAACTTGTCAGAACGCCTGTATTTGTAGGGTACAAGTCTATATCACTCTCTAGTCTATGTGTCAAGTCATAAAACATCCCAACTAGCAATAATAAACAATTTGGACCAACCCACCCAGAAGGACAGCTGCATTTTGTCTCCTTCTCACTACAAAATAATGAGTATAAAGTCATAAGCGCAAGGGTAGGAGAGCGCTACTGTCAGTCGGCTACATGAGAAAAATGTATTATACTACTTTTTGGAATATGTGATCTTTATTGGGTTTTTACAATCTGTGATTTGCAATGACTACCTTTTCTATGTAAATAATGTTCTCCTGTTCAAATAATTTTGCATTCATAATTTTCTGTCCTTTTTCTTAAAGGGACATCAAAACCTTCAGAAGCTTGAGGCTCCACGAACCTGGATCTGTCCTTGGAAACTAAAAAGGTACTAAAGGAAGGAGGCCCTGGATGATATGTTTGGCACAAGGGAAGTGAATAGGGCCCAGAGAGAGAAATTTACCAAGGAGGCAGTAGCACAAAGAGGTACAAGTGAGGTCCTGGAGAACTGAGTGGAGCAGAGTTGTGGTAAGAATTGTGAAGAAAGTGTGTGTCATTGAAGGGAAAGGCTCTGAGACACAATTTCTAGGCTTCCCAGGAAATCTCCTCAATCAGAGGGCGCCATTTTACTCAGTGTGACTTTAGCCGCACACACAGCACAAAAAGGACTTTTGGAAAATCAAAAGATGATTCTACCCCATTGTAGCTTTGATTATCTCAAGATACTGCAGGACAGCAGGGGTGTGTATGAGGTATGATAGAAAAATAGGTGAATGTCTATTTTTTTAAAGCATCATAGACAAAGACATATTACCTTTAAGTACTCTTGAAATTCACCCCCCCCCCTTATTTTGGATACACGTTCCATTGTTTTTGCCACTTTCTGAAGCAGTCTGAAAGTCCTCTTTTGTAGGTGTCCTTAATTGCATTGATGCTCTGAATAGATTCAAAACACTTATCTTTCCTGGTCGTTGTGATGGTGCCAGATCAGGCGAGCAAGGCTCATGACAGCACACTGCAATGTTTGTAGAAGTCTGTCTTTGCATTGGATGGCATTCACTGTATTTTTTATCATACGTTATAAAGACAGTCACAAAAGAGGACTTCCAGAAGTGCTCCAGAAAGTGGCCAGAACAATGGGATAAGTGTGTTCCAAGCAAGAGGTAATATTTTGAGGAGTTAAGGGCAATGTCTTTTACTGTAATAATTTCCAAAAATTGAACATTCACTCTATACTTCAGTCACCCCTTATACATTTGTGGTTTTTATCTCACATATCCTAAACCACATTACTAGCTCAGTAAATGTCTACACATAGATAAGAATGCCTCTTCACTTCATTAGGAACTTTTCCTGAACATGAGTGTCATATTTATTTCCCCAGCAGGTTCTGAGCTGAGCATTTGACTCAAGCTGGGCCAATTAGAGCTCTTAACTAGAATTCTAAAATATGAGACTAGCTATGGATGAAAAATAAGTATTTGGATGCTTAGTACTCCTGCCCACTGCATTAGTTTTGTGCATACTTTACTGGATTAAGGGATGCCCAGACAGCTGTGAAACCATTCTTGGGTGTATTTGTGACAGAGTTTCCAGAAGAGATTGGCATTCAAATCAATAGGTTGAAGATCTCTTGCACTAGTATGGGTTAGTTTCAACCTATTCATTGAGGGTTCAAATAGAACAAAATGTTCATGGAAGTGCAGATTCTTTTCTTTGGTTGGGATGTCTTCTTCTGCCCTCACATCTTGATATCCTTGGGTCTCCAGATTCCAGAATCAGACTGGGATTTATACCATTGACCTCTCACCCACCACCACTCACCCCATAATCCAAGCCTTTAGACTCAGCCCAAACCACACCATCGTCTTCCCTGGTTCTCCAGCAAGCAGATGGCAGATCATGGTGCTCCTGGTTCCTGAACTGCTTGAGCCAATTTCTATAAGAAGTCACATCCCATATGTAGTTGTGTGCATCCTACTGACTTTGCTACCCTGGTGGACCCTGACTGATGCACATGTGTGGGAAACCCCACACTGGCAGAGTCCTGCTCTCTATCCAAAGAAGAGCACACAGACCCTTGCCCTTAATCCTTAGACTGTCTGCTCTGGCTCTGCATGGTAGCAGTCTGCAGGAAGATAGGACACACACTCTCCCCACTGAGTCCCTTAAGTTATCTGCTCAGATACTTCTGAACCTCTTCCTGAGCTGCTGGAGCTTCTTCCCCCAAGTCTGTCCTGCAGACAGCGAAGCAGTTCTGCATCCCCAACCCAAAGGAGGGCTAGCTGATGTTTGGGGTGTGACTTGGAACGTGCAGGCTGGAGTGTTCACAGAGACACCTGTAATCTGGATCAAATCACAAGCTGGCAGCTGATCCCCCCTCTGCAGTCAGATCCCAAGGCAGAGCTCTAAGGAATCAGAGAAATCTCAATCCAAACCCATACTTCAAGATAGGATGATTGGGACATATTTTGCTTCAGTTTTCCAGCCTGGTTTATAACTTTCTAATACTTACATGTGGAATAGATGACTATCCATCAGGGCCTCACAAATATTAGGGGGAGAACTGAGCAGAGAATGGGAGAAATTCCTGTGGCATTGGTTGCCAGGTTCCCATGGCACAGATGCACCCTGCCTTCTCTTGGTGTGGCTTTTAAATTAATAAAGAAAATATTTTTCCCCAAGTCAATATTCACTTGTGTTTCTTTCAGTCAGCACCTAGCATAGATTGTAGGTTCTGTAGATGGATGTTAAACCTGGCTCAGGCTCTGATGCTGCTCCACACCAACTTCCTAACCATATTCCCAACAACAGACCAAGCAGACATGGAATGTAGATAGCCTGGCAGGTAAGAACCACGATCCGTGGGGAGCAATGTTACCTACCTGACCCCTAAAAACACCTGCAGGAGAGTGCAAATGCCAGAGACGAAGAAAATGGTGCTGATGAGGTAGCTCTGGGTCAGGGGGTCATGCTGCAGGCACAGGTCCTTGGCCAGGATGAGCGGCACTGCCACGAGTCCCCCCAGGGCTGTGAGGAAGTGCTGTGGGCAGAGTGAGGAAGTGAGCACGTGAGTACTGAGGCATGTGCTGTCACTCCCTCTCCTAATCAGGAGTGCAGCCGAGTCTTTCGGGGACCCACACACACAGGGTCAGAGAGAAGAACTTCAAAGCTGGTCTGAGAGGGTCTTGCAAGAAGTGGCAGATGAAGATGCAGGTAAGTGGTCCAGACCAGACATCCAGACCACAGAGACCTGGCAGTAAGAAGCAGGGCCCACCCAGAGCCACTGGAATGGACCTGACACTGGAATTGCCATATTAGAGGAGGAACCAAGGCAAGCACATAAGCATAGGAAGGCATAACAGGGACCAAGTAGGCTTTAAGGACAGGAGGAGGACAAGAGGCTCTCACTACTTGAAGCACACAGCAGGAGCAACCATTGGCAAGGGATGCCTGAACACTAACTTGAAAGTGTTAGTGCTCCAAGTGCTATTTGCCCTCTCCTAGACGGAACAGAGTTCAGGGCGGAGCAGAAAGTTTTGGAAGGTAGCACCACCTATGTTATGGCTTGTGTCTGGATGGCCCCACAAAGCCTCATATGGACATGAGGAGTAGGCTTTTTGGAGGTGGCTGAATCTAGAATTTGTGATTGGTTCATTATCTAGTGCTAAGATTGGGCGTTTGAGCACTACACCCACCCTAGAGTGAGTACCCTGCATACGGTGTAAGAGAAGAAGAGAGTCTTGTTTCTCCCCTTTTTTTCGTCTTGCTTTTAGCTGAAGCAAGCACCATGAATGGTTGTTCCCCTTCTGCTATAGCACCCTGCCTTGGAGCCAGCTGATTATGGGTGAAAACCTCCACAAACTATAAGGCAAATAAACCTTTCCTCCTTTAACTTTGGGTGTCTGGTATTTTGTATCAGCAATGAGATAAAAGTAACTAAGTTAATATATAAAGGGAATAAATTAGATATAGGTGATGGAAAGATAGATGGTGGATGGATGATATAGATAATAGATGGATAGATAGATGATAGATAGATAGATAGATAGATAGATAGATAGATGATAAATAGATAGATATGAGGGCCAAGCAATCAAAACTAGTTAGCAATGGGCCACTATCTCACACCGTCTAGCCCAGAACAAAAAGATTGACCAGTCCTGAGTCAAACTTTCTAAGAATAAAGACACATGAATTCACCCGCTTCTCTCCTTTGTTCCAGTCCAGCTTATTGTCTGATAATTTACATCAGGTCCCTGACAGAATTTGCATAGGGACTTCTGTTCCTGGTGCTAACAGAATCCTTCTGCTGTGCTGTCATTCAGAAAAGCCAATGTACAATTGTAGGTTTACCCTTAGGGTAAGTTCTACACCTGATCCTATACAATTAGGGCATGAATCAAGCTAGGATTGGGAGGCTTGGTTTGGCTTGACTTAGCTGTTAAATTAAAAGAGGAAAGAAGAACATGAACTAAATTAACCCACAAGAAAAGTTGGACTTCTTCCTTAGGTAAATGAAAACTAAAATGGATCTATGTACTGCACCTACCTGCCTTCCCGTGCTTCCTGGCTCTCTGCTCTCAGACAAAGGTAGTCTTAGAATGTACTAGTCCTTTAGGACAGAGACCTGCACCACTCCAGAGGAGAAGATCAAGAAAGCAGGCTCTGTTTGCATCACATGGAACAGGCCTGGGCCCAGAAGAGATCTGGACCAGTACCTCTGGGGAGAGAGAGTCCCAAGTCTCCCTAGTCTCTCTAGCCACATGGGTGACAGCAGTAGAGGACAAGTCTCTAAGTGCACAGGGACAGCCTGTTAGCAATGCTTGCCCTTGCTCCTATATCCTATGAGATAATTGACACGAGAAGTTCGATCCTTTGTGGCCACTTGTGAATGAGCCTTCAACTTGCTGTCAGCTAGATCACTACAGGCCACAGTAACCTCCAGGCCGAGAGCCCTGTGGTGTTTCTTTCCTATCTCATACCATCTCCAACAACCCTGCTAACAAACCAACTAACTAAACCAAGCAGAAAGGCCAATTCTCTCCTGATGTCCAGTAAATCTCTTGGTCTTAGAGAACCCAGGACATCTGGTGAAAGTTGAATCAAACAGAAGCTACCACTGACAGGGGTTGCTTTAAGGAAGGTACTTGATCTAGTACCTTTTTGGCCTCCCAAGGGCCTTGCCAAAGTGAAGAGGACCTTTAACCAATTCACTCAAGAGAACAAGGCAACAGTCAGCTCAGCATGCGGAAGAATCCTTTTCCAAGTAGCCATTCTCATCCCCTAGAGAGACGGAGGGGTCTCTACACCTACACCAGGGAACTGAGGTTGGTAATGTTGACGTTGATCTGGGGGTGAGTTGGTGGAGTTTTTAAGGCAAAGCCACTTTGGACTAAATGCCTCCTCGGTGGACTTACCTGGATCCCAAAGAAGATGCAGAGATACCATGGAGGGACGTCCAAGATGCCATAGGCCAGGTGGCTGCTGTTGCCACTGGGACTCCCAGGCTTCCCATCCTTCTTCCTGTCTTGGCCATCAGTGTCAGGGCTAAGCACTTCCTCATCCCTCTGCTGGAAAAAGAAAAAGACACATTGGGCACTTTAAGAGGAGCCACGTGGATATCCTGATTCCAGTGGGACAATAGGTCAGCCTTCCAGAGACAAGAGGCGTGGGGCTGGGAAATCATTAGCCAGTTAAAGTTTGAGGTCCAGACCCAAGACCGGTGACTTCCTGTGGTTTACATCTTCAGCTGGATCTCTGTGTCAAGCCCAGGCCCCTTCAAGGGCCTCACCAAGTAACCTGACAGAGAGGTGACTTGGCAGGGAGTACAAAGGGCTGTCCTCAAGGCTGGGGCATGCGCAGATTTCCCTCACAGCTCCTGGGGCATTGTTTACACTTGCCAAAGCCCTCTGACAGCAGTTTTCTACAGTGGGTAATTCACTTCTCTGTTTCTTCTCCTAGCTGGTTCCAGGATGCTTTGATTGTACCTTACTTTCTCATCTCAGCTTTGAGTGCAGTCCTCATGCTCAGCACAGACTGGGTGGATGGATGAATGAATGAATGATCCTAATGTAGATGTATACAATACACACAGAATAGTCCAGAGCAGTGATGGTGAACCGTTTAGAGATGAGTGCCCAAACAGACCCTCAAACCCACTTACTTATCACAAAGTGCCAACACTGCAATTAAACCTGAACACTGAGGTTTTAGTCTAGGAAAAACAATTCCTACATTAGTATTTTTTGTCATATAAGAAAAACAAATAGCATGTCTGCCTTACATTTGCACTACTCGTCGAGAGTCAATAGCCAACTTGCATTTCAACCAGTTTAGCAAGAGAATTGCAGTGAGCTCAAGGGTATCCTGGGCTACACAGTGAATTCAAGTGTAGACTATACAGCAAGACCCTGTCTCAAAAACAACCTCCCCCAAAGCACCCAAAAACCAAACCCTGAGACTTAGAAATACTAATAATTTGCTCAAAGTTAGCAAGCTATACAGCAAAGAGTTGAATGGAAAGTCTGTGATTTAAAGTTAATTCAGCTAAATTGGTCAAAATGCAAGTTGGCTGAGCATGGTGGTATACACCAATAGCCCCAGCACTTGTACACCGCCACGGCTCATCTGCCGTCACGGTCCTCATGCTGGGTAGCTGCTCTATAAAGTAGATGAATCAGGGATAGGCCGATAGACCTTGCATTTTTCATCTCTAGCTTTCAAGGCTGGTTTTTCCTAATAGGTCTTTTTTTTAGGGAAAGGGGTAAAAGAAATAGTACACCCCTAGATAGTTGAAAAAGTGACTTATAGCATGAAGGACCTAGTCCAGGACGTAGCACAATATTACTGCCCAGTGAGTGCTAGCCATTATCAGCGCTATGACCTCCATGAGTGGAAAAGCTTTGAACACAGGAGCAAGCCCAACACCTGCACATCTAGCCATGTGTGAGAATGAGAATATCTTGATAAATCTCCAAAAGTCCTGGGGGCCAAGCACTGTGTCTACTCTACCAAAAAAATAGGAGAAAAGATGGGGTGAGGATCACCACTTGCCAAGATGTGGAGAGAGTTAAGAAAGCCACCAGAGAAAGAACTGGTGGCATCGTGGCACTCGGGAAGCTGAGGCAGGAGGATAGCAAGTTCAAGCCCAGCCTGGGCAACTTAGTGCCTGAATGAGAGCCTGTCTCAAAATAGGCAAAAAGAAAAAGGGAACATAGCTCAGTGCCAAGGTCCTGAGTTTAATCACCCAAATAGTAATAATAATAATAATAACTAGGTGGCCATTACCCACCTCCAGGACAGCCCTCTCCCTGTGGAACACGGGGTACACAGTAGACCTCCCCTACCCAAAGGTTCACTGTTTGAGGCTTCTGTTTCACAATTCCAGGCATCCATCCACTGGCACTCTTGGGTCACAGCTCCTGCAGATGAGGATCTGCTGTTTCCTATGACGGTATCTCAGCCTCAGCCTCCAAACACTTGGCTGGATGATTCTTTGCTGAGCCCTGCATGGGCTGTTTAATCACACATTTGTATTGTGTTCTCACTAGATGCCAGAGCATCCCTTCCTCCTACCTGCTCGTGCCAATGCAAAATGTCTTCAGCTATCACTAAATAATCTGGTAGTCAAATCACCCCTGCTTAAGCAAGCAACATAGTAAAAGCACCACTGAGAAGGCGCCCCATGCCCTGCATGGAGGTGATGAAAGCCAGCTTTCTCTCCTCATGGCCATCACCCATCCCTAATTACTTCCTGTCACAAGCTTGAGGCCTCTACTGCTGGCATGGAGAAAGCCCAGGGTAGCAAACCACGAAGAACCAGGACTGAGGGCCAGACTTGCGACAGTAGGCTCTGCAGGGTCATTTTTGATAGGGCCCTGCCTGGGATTTGCCCAGTCATCATGGCAGCAGTGCAATGCTGAAGCACCATGGTGCTTAGCTCCTTCCTTCCAGAAGCCTCTTCCGGCTTCTTCCACCCAAAAGTCTTTGCCAAAGCTCATGAGTGTAAAGATTTACCCAATCACCTGATCTCACAAAATAAATTAGCTTATATCTGTTTCCAAAGCCCTTCCCCCATCAGAGCTTAGATGAGGTAGAACCTGCCCTTTGTCTGCAGAGAGCCGCTACAGCCTTCTTTGTAGTGACTCCCTCCGTGCCCACATTAAGCTCTTTCTTATCAATAGTTGCCTCCTCTCTTTTAATATTCTGTGCTGCTCTAAACTGAGTACAAAGTTTCAACTCAATCAATTTTGTTCTCATTATGAAACAGTACTTACTTGTCAATCTTCTAGTGTTGGGCCCTACAACACAGATGTAGCTGGGTGTGGTGGCACACACTTGTAATCCTAGTACTTTGGGAGGCTGAGCCAGGAAGACTGCAAATTGGAGTATAGTGTGGGTAATTTAGTAACCAAACAAGACCCTGTTTCAAAAAGTGTTTTAAAAGTAATCGATAAAAAAGCCTTGGGATGTAGCTTTGTGTGCAAGCTCTGAGTTTCAATTCTCAGAACCTCGAATGAATGAATGAATGAATGAATGAATGAATGAATGAATGAAATAAACCCTCCACAGATTAAGAGTTTGTTTTGCTCATCCATCTAGCACTCATTTGCTTCTCTGGAAGCCTGCACTGACTGACCCACCCAAGCCTCAGAATGGAGGGCTCCCTTCCACGGGGCTTTCCAGCCCAGCAGCAGGTTTACCACAGCTGGGACTGTTAAGATTCTTGCCCTGGTATAAATTACTGTATAATTATGGCAATGATCTAACATGGTAAAAGGCCAAAGCAGGAATGTTTACCCTGACGGCCAATCGCTCCTTCTTTCTCTTTGGCCCAAATTGTTATTTTCTCTCCTGTTTGCACACTAGGAAAATTCCAGTCAGTTCCTCGCACATCATCCATGGCTGCCTCATTGCCACTTCCCATCACAGGTCATATAACCCTCTGCCTGCCTGTGTCTGGTTGGAGGTGACAGCCAACCCCGCAGATTAGGGGCTCCTCTCCATGTCCTCAGTAAAGGCCACTTCCACTTTGTTTTGCTGTCTGCTTCTCTGTTGCTCCAGAAAACTCTACCAGGGATGACACACTGTCATCAGATGCATCCTCGTCCTGAAGTCCTGTGACTTCTCCACCTCCACCCTCATGCTGACTGAGCTGTTGACACGAGTGAAGGAATGCTCAGTGAATGACTGCAGGCACATCTAACTATTTTGAAATAAATCCCTCATTTGAACTGATTGGAACTCTCGTGAAACAAGCCTACCCTGTTCAGACTTCTGAGCAGGAGGAGGTGCTGATGCCCCTTGATGCTAGGATTGCACAGGAAAAAACTACTTTTCTCTAAAGAGATTGGAGCTGGGCCAGGGACAAATGGAGTTGCAGGGCACAGTGCTGGGTTTCTACCACTTCTGGAGAGGCTTTCATGCCTATATGGAGGAATCTGTGAGGCACTTCAGAGAAAAAGACACAGAAAGAAGAGAGGGAAAGGAGACTGAGAATGATTGACTAGCTGATCAATTGATTCTGGGCAGGCAACTCTGAAAAGGTCATGAAGAGTGGCGAGCAGAAGTGATTGTCACCAGGCCACTCCATGACCCTCTCCCAGCCTCAGTCTCTCTTCTAGGATCTGTCTGGAATGACCACAGGAAGGTCACAGCTGGAGCACATGTGGGTAACACTTCAGGACTCTGTGTGTGTGTGTGTGTGTGTGTGTGTGTGTGTGTGTGTGTATGATGCTAGGTCTGTGACCTTGACTGCTGTGTCTGTGTGGCCTGCCTGTGAGCTTGTCCTTCACCCAGGACCTCTTGGCATTATGACTGTGAAAACTGCTCTCACCTGTCCACTTCTAAGCAGAATGGGAACCAATGTGCCAGACTGCTGCTGGTCAGGACCAGTAAGTACCCCAGGTTCTGTCTTTCTATCGACATGGCCATCTGATGGCTATGAAACCCGCTTCTGCCTTTTTAGGAGAGTTATCTGGGAAAATGATCTTACCTAATGCTCCACATGCAAAAGGTTATCACTTGGAGCTGGGAAAACCTGTCATCCCTGAGGACAGCTGGCTCTTCCCTGAAGTCGTCGGCCAGGGTGGGTAGAAAGCACAGACCTGGAGATAAGTCCTCAAGACACAAGACCCCCACCCAACGTGCTTGCTTCCTCCTCACAGTGCTCTTGATTATCTATTTCTACTGTGCTCACCGATTGCTTGTAAGTCTATCTTCTGTTGTAAACTATCTCAAATCCTCTATGCCAACACATGAGACATAGAAATAAAACAAGCCAGGGCAGAGTGCATGCAGTGTTCCGTATGTTAGCCAGAAATCTAATCCAGAGAAAGGGATACGGGAACTTGGGGTTTCTAGGGGGCATGGAGCAGCCCCATCCTGGGACACATCAGAATAGGGGAAAATCCCAGGAAAACCCCTGGCTGGGAGTCATAGTGCGACTCATCCAGCAGCAGAAAAAAGCTTTGGCGACACTGCCCCCTCAGGGAACTTCCTGATGCATTATTCTGATGGGATAAGAACATGGACAACAGATTCCTCTTCTGCTTGGAGTTCAGCCTCTCAGCTCTCCAGGACCTGTGGTTTCCCTAAAGGACTTAGTTCCACACAGGCACTCTCAGGAGACTTGGCTTGCACAGCATTTCACACAGAATGTCCAATGCACCCTCCTTCAAGTTTGTCTAATGGGGCCCCACCAGGGACAGATGAAGAGACTGGGGTCAGCTAAGCTGCAGGGCCTGTCCCCATGAGAACACTCCTTTTTCCATGTCAAGGAGACTAACCTACAGCTGTGCTCCATGTAAACAGGGACCGCCCTGCAGCTCCTAGGCATACACAAGCCAGCAGGAGGAGGCCCCGGTGTGGCACAAGCAGTGACCCCTGGGGTCCAGGGGGATCTCTTCCCTTCTGACACTCTCTCCACCCCACACAGCCGTGTCCCTGCCAGTGCCCAGCCCCACCTGGCTGCAGTCCTGCCCAACCCTCCATTCACCTCAGGTGAGCAGGTAGAGTTTCCCCCGAGGGCCTCAGTGTGCTCCCTACCCTTTCACCCACCCTAATTGAGAGGTGTATAGGTGCCTGCCCCACAAGCTTGCCTCAGGAACACCCCAAATCAAGAAAACAACATAGCCTTTGGGAAATGGAGCTTTCAGCTTCTTTCCTCAGACTTTTGGCCTCTGAGGCATGGGGCAGGCAGAGTTCTGAGGTGATTTTTTTCTCAGTGCCCCTCAGCTTCCTCAGAGCGGAATGCCAGGCACCCTGCAGGAGGCTGAGCTGCAGTGGGTTAGGCCTGGCAGCTGGCTCCTGGGCAAACTCTGAGATCCAGCCCAGTTTTGTGGTGGCTCTGACTCCAGAACCCGGGCTGGGCCTCACTGAGTTATGGCCTGGCCAGAGGGGCGTGGCCCTGTGCCTGCCAGTGGGCAGTGGTAACCACAGAAGTTCTGCGTTCAGTCCTTCCTGTCATTTTTAGGTGGCCAAATAGGCTGGAGAAAGAGATGAGGCCTAGGAGCTCAGGCTGCAGAGGTGGCTGGGGGTGGGATTGGGGGTTCTTCCTGTGACTTGTCTTTTCCAGGCTTGGTTTCCTTATCTATGAGACAGGAACCAGCACCTGTTGTATTTGCTTTTAAGGAAGAAATTAAAGCACAGAGGGTCTGAAGCCTCCCAGCTGTCTGGAGGAAGTCGCTTCAATCTTTCTGTTCCTTGTATTCAGAAAAGAGAAAGCCTGGTGCTGAGAACCTGGCAAATGACAGCCCGGTTCAGCAGAGTGCTCCCTGAGTGAAGTGAGGAGACAGCCTGCCCACCTGCCCTGCTGAGAGCCCGTCCTCCCCTCTTCTGGATTTTGTCAGTGTCACAGTGAGGGCAAATTTGGTGCCAGCTGTGACAGTGACCTGATGGTGGCCCTGAAGGGGCCAAGGCTGGAGAAAGGAGGGAGCTGCCACTTCTGCCTGATGATCTGAATCTAATCTAAAGGCTGAGCTAGTCAGACACTGGGGCAGGAGCACACCACCCTGGGCCTCCCCAGCCTCCTTCCTATCCCCTGTTCCCCACTCCAGCACTCACCAAGCAGCTGGGAAGCTCGCGACTGGGGATAGCAGAGTTCATGGCAACCAACTTTCCCTTCTGGCAGAAGCTGGACAGAGAATACTTCTCCGGAAGGAAGCAGAAACGCTTCAGGAGAGGGAGATTAACTTCTCAGGAACTGATGCCGTGTGGAGTGGCTGGGAGGGAGCGGCTGCAGGTCCTACCTGCCTGCCAGACCTGTAACCGGTGCCCCTTCTACCCCACCTCCTCTTCCAGGAGACCAAGGTGCATTCTGCTGCAGCAAATGTTTCATAACTTAAGCTGTGGGCCTTGCAGCAGCCAGGAAACAAGCCAGAGTACAGCCCATCAGGGTGTGGCCTGAAGCACTTTCGGGAAGGTCAGCTTTAGGGCACTTGGGGTGAAGAAGTGGGGGAGTGAGCAGCAAGCTTGAGGCTGAAGGGTTTCCATTTTCTACACTGAAACTGAAAAGTAGCCAAGTGGCAATAAAAATTGTTGCAAAGACCATGGGGGATGTGGGGATGTGGGGATGGGGAATGTGGACCAAGGCATTATTATGGCTCCTTGCCCTCTGGAGCCACTGCTGTGGCTGCTGGGTGGGGGCAGAGGCATCACAAGTCTCAGGCGAAAGCTTGAGGGGACAAATGCTTCTAATTCTCTGTGGTTTCTTTCCTTAACACTCAGAGCTGGCCATCCCACTTTTCCGGGAGAGAAGCCCTGCATAGTTTTGGCCTTATATTTTTCATAGCGTACTTGAAAAGCCCTCTCCAAAACACTTGGTAATCCTCACCCCATGAAATCCAAACAAGTCAGTGGCAGCTACTGATGATGGTAGAGTATTTTGGAATAGTACAAGAAACACTGTGGCAGGACCCATAGAAATGACAATGGGCACGGATTCATGAAGAAGTCCCGAAATCATGACAAAGAGTTGGATAGATCTGACCCCCAACTGCCTTGCTCCCACCAGCTGAGTTCCTGGAATGGCTACTCCCAGACACCTGACCCTGGGAACAATGCCTTCTCTGCTAGGACATGGCACACCTGCCCCGCCTGCTAGGTCACAAGGCACCCAGAACAGAGTATTAGCTGCTGCTGTGGTCACTCTCCCTCCTCCAACCTCACACCCCAACTCACCTCCCCCAAGCCTACCACTACCCCTCACCCCTATCTATAAAAGACCCAGATCAATAAATGGGATTCAGAGTCTCCTTTGAAGTTCCTCCAAGAGGTCCCTCCTGGAACCCCCAAATTTAGGCTGGCTATGTTCTTTACTGGGTCATCACACTTTACCTAACAGAAATGTTTGCAGAGGAAGGAGGCAGATTGACTTGGGCTGTGACCAAAAACTCAAGATCTGAAGAGAGTCAACCTTGCTTAACTATGTACACTGACCTATGCCTTGGTGGCTATTATTTTTTTGCATCATCTTATTTAATTTTGATGACAAACCAAGCATTTGCATCCTTATTTTGTACATTAAGACATGCAAGAGCTGGTGTCTTAAGTTTTTTACCCAAGGTTCATGCTAAATGCAGGAGTCAAACCCAGGCAGTCTCATTCTCCAGCACTTAGGGCCAGATACATGAGGAAGGGAGACACATGCCCTCAGACACATGCAAAGATGGGCAGTGCTACGGCTGTGTCTAGATGTCTCCCCAAAGATTCATGTGATCATAGGTGGGTTTTTTGAAGGTGACTGGATCCAGAGTGTGTGATTCTGGGCTTGATTCATGGCACAATGCTAGGCTCAAGGGCACTAGGATTAAGGGTGTGAGTGCTACCTGCCCTAAGTGGTCTGGAGAAAATAAAAGGGGAAGAAAAATATCATTACAGTGCCCTTGTTGCTTTTGCTACCTTCTGCCCACCATGAACTGTTTGCCCCTCTGCCATGTGCCACTTTGCCTTGGAGCCACCAATGATGGATTGAAATTTCTATGAACTGTGAGTCAAATATGAAAGGGTTTTGGCCCAGACAGGACACTGTAGCCAGGAAAGCCTCAACCGGAAGCAGGAAGCCCCTATCTCCCCCACCCCTAGGAATTTACCTGTGACGCCATCTTCCCGCCCCTGAGAATTTACGTATGGTGCGAAACCTAGGACCAATGGGCTACCTGTGCATCCCTAATGCCCGCCTTAGGTTCCACCCCAAACTGAGGTTACTTACATACCCCTACGCCACGTGTCTGCCGGAGAGATCGCTGGACGCCAGCGGTAGGGGGTGCCGGTCATCTCTCTCCGTGATCTCAGAATAAAGGCCACTTTTTGTTTTATACTTCTCATCTTTTGGAAATAATTCTATCAAAATATACCTTTCCTTCTTTAACTATGGGTGTCAAATATTTTGTCTCAGCAACAAGAAAGGTAACTAAGACAGGTGGATGCTACAACTGCTGATCTATGAGAGATGGTCCAAGATCTTCAATTTCAGATTTAGGAAGGATACACACACACACATACACACAATGGTGCCAGATTCATTTTACTTATCAGAGACTGAAACCTTGGAGTTTCAAAAGCGCCAATAACCTTGCAGTTATTGAGTTTCCTGAAAACATTAAATGTATTGTTTCCTGAGCTTCGTGGGTGACCAGGCAAACATAAAAACAGGGGGAAATACCTGCCAGGTATCCACAGTGAGAGGCACATACATTGCTGCCCCAGCAAGACCTGGCTGGTATGGTCTAAGGGGGGCATGACTGGGCTCACAACACCACTCTTCCTTGTTGCCTTTAGGGGCAGTGTGGAAGAAGTTTTCTCAAAGATACTGCCCTCCCCACACTTACTGTCTGCCTTACTTGGTTCTCCTCATTGTCCCTGCCCACTATTTAGGTGCACAGTGTGCAAGGTTTCTCTACAGTGTGGGTGCAAGGTTAGCTATGCTCAATCAAGCTTAGTCACAAAGATGGCCTCCCTTACTCACTTTGGTTAGCTATAAAGTGTTCCAGAACCTTCCCTCTTCACCCTTAACTCCTCTCTTTTGGGCCTGATGCCCTATCATACATGTTCTTTAAATGAATATTATCTGCATGGCCGTGATCACCCTTCTCACCAGCTCGGATAAGAAGCCAAATCAGTGATTCCCCTTTTCCTCCATCTTCTGCCTCTTGGAAGTCCTTTCCACCAAGTCTGATTTCTGATTTCAGAAGCATCATCTGGTTTCTGCCTCCATCTCTTGTCTTAAAGCCACTGTGGTCTTATGTTAGCTTTCCATCATTGTCACAAAACATTTGAGATAATCAACCTTTGGGGAATACAGAGTAATTCTGGCTCATAGTTTAAAAAGTTTAAAGTCATGGTTGGCAGATTCTATTGCATTAGACCCTGTGGTGAGGCAGAACATCATGGTAAGGAGTACATGACAGAAGAAATGGCTCACCTCACCATGACAGGGAAGTAGACAGAGAAGGGTGGGCTTAGTGTCCCAGTGTCCCCTTTAATGACAGGCCCCAGTGGCCTAACTTCCTTCCTCTAGGTTCCACTACACCTGAATAGCACCATGGGCTGCTGAGCAAGCCTTTAGCATGCAGATCTTTTGGAGACCAACATTTAAGAGCCAGACCAGACAAGGCCTTTACAACTCTCCCACAGCCTCAGTTGCCTCAGTGGGTTGCCTCCCCCACCACCTCACTGAAATCTTCTGTAGCTTGTTTTTTTTAAGAAAATAAAATAAAACAGAACAAAGTAGATCATAACAGAACAATGCAAGCAACACAGGATTTGAAAACGAGACAACAGGAAATCAGCAGTGGCTACCATAATATCTCTTGTTTTCTTCTAATTGTCTATATCTTCAAACACAAGGAATTCAAACAAAACAAATTAGTATAAAACTGATCAAAGCAGAAGCATGCAAGCATTATAGGCCTTCAAAACCAAACAACAGGAAAATCAACAATGGCTACCATAATGTCTCTTGTTCTCATCAAAATAGCTATCCATACCTTCACACATATTGAAATCAAATAATAGAAAATAGACTAAAACTAATCAAAACAAAGAATAAAAAGCATTATTTGACTTCAAAACATGATAGGAAATCAGCAATGGCTACCATAATGCTTCGTATTCTTCTAAGTAGCTGTTGATACCATCACACGTAATAAAATCAATTCTTGTAAACTCTTTAGGAGAATATCTAGGCATGTTTAAGCCTATACTGTATTAGAAGGAAAAACAAAACAAGACCAAAAAAAAACAAGAAATAAAAGAAACAAACAAAAATAACAAAAAGGCTAAAACAGTAACAATATCGGCTTTGAAAACAAAGTGGTAAGAACATAACTAAGGTTGTTGTTTTGCATAGTTATCTTCAAAAGAGTTACTCAGATTACCAAATATAAACATGCAAAATTGATCTAATCCTATGAATGTTAGCTGTTTTGTTCCAGGAACTAATAAAATTAGTAGTCTTAGCTATCTTAAGTGTAGATATACAAATTTATAACCTTTTTCTTTTCCCTTTCTTCTTTTCTCCTATTCTCTATATGAGATTTTTCCCTCTTTGAGCAGTTTCTTACCCTTTCACAATATTTATTGAATATTTTGATCTTATCCTTTCAGTTGCTTACATTCAGGAGACAATACTGTATTTACACATGTGAGTTTGATTTATTTCACTTATGAGTATGGTCTCAAGCTGCAACCATTTACCTATAGAAGCCTCACTGCGATCTTTCTTTATGGCTGAGTAGTACTCCATTGTATAAAAATATCACATCTTTCTTTATCCATTCCTCAGCTGATGGGCATTTGGGTTGTTCCCAAAATTTGGCTATTACAAATTGTGCTGCTATAAACATGGGTATAAACATGCTATAAACATGGGTACACATATATCACTGTTGTATGATGTTTTCAGTTATTCTGGGAATATGCCCAGAAGTGGAATAGCTGGGTCAAATGGGACATCCAATACTAACTTTTTTGAGGAACCTCTAGACTGATTCCCACACTGGTTGCACCAGTCTACACTCCCACCAACAGTGCAGAAGAGTTTCTTTTTCCCCACAGACTCACTCGCATTTGTTATTAGTGGTTTTCTTGATCCTGGCTATTCATTCTGGAGTGAGATGGAATCTCAGTGTTGCTTTAATTTGCATTTCTCTAATGACCAATGATGTTGAACATTTCTTCATGTATTTATTTGCCATTTGCATTTCTTCAAATGAGAAGTGTGTATTCATCTCAGGTGCCCATTTTTGGATTAGGTCTTTGAATTTTGGGAGTCTGAACTTTTAAAATTCTTTGTGTTCTAGACAGAAGTCCCTTGTCTGAGGGAGAGTTGACTAGGATTCTTTTATCAAT